TTATGACTTTTTAGCAATCGGGCTTGGAATGCTGTCGGATTGTATTTTCTCAAGTCGCGAATTGTTTTTGTTGCTAAGTGGGATTGGAAGTTTTACCTAAACTGGAATGCTTAATTTTGGATAATCCGAGATTTTAGCATCGCATTGTATAAACGTTTTCCTCAATTTAAACAGAATATTCGAACCGAATCATAATTTGACAAACGGGACTTACAAGAGGTTTAGAAAGTCGGTAATTTATTTCCAGTCACAACACCACCTGGACCCAACCCGCTCTGATTCGCTTCGACTTCCTGATAACCCTTTCAATGACGAAAAGATATCAAAGCGGCTCAAAGACTTAACATATATATTTTTTTAATGTGTGAAGTTTGAAAAAAAAAACAGGACTTGATAAATAGGAATAAGCCGTAAACATATTCGCCAGCAAGTTGCGTTTAACTGTACACCGTTGTTTGGTCACAAAAAGCAATCTTTTATGATTTTTTTTAAAACTTGACTAATACCTTTGTTGAAGCATGAAAGTCTCATTAAATTCCAATGGATAAAAGTAAGATTCAGGTAATATTTTGAAAGTTGGGAAACAGCCAAGAAACAACAAATCTTGCTTTCTTGAACTTGCACATCCACACTGTTTGAATTTCTTCAATGTATATTCTATATCAAAAACTATTTTCCGGGCTAAATACTGCAAAAGGGATAGTTATGTAACGTTTATATTAGGTTAATTGGCCGGAGATGCGAAAAATTGGAGTTGCATCAGAAAATTGGCTCCCCTGAATAGTATTTTTCACATTTCGTTTTCACCAAAAGTCTTCATTATTTTGAAACGATTTTTTTTAATTTATAGAACAATAATAGGCGAACAATAGCAAAGACCGATTTTCTTATTTAAAAAACCCAGGGCTGAAAAATAAATGAATATAAAAAAAGGTGTAAAATCTTGTCTCAACAATAAATTTCTAACCAAAAATAAACGATACCCTAGTTTTAATAATACTTTCCTACAAATTAGTAGAATAATAAAACAAATAAATTTAAAAAAATATTGGCCTAGGATGGATAGATGTTGAGAAAATAATTTTCGTCAAAAAACCAACCTTGAGGTGAGAAATTAATTTTTTTATATATAAAAAAAGAATAAAATCTTGTCACAACTTTAGTTTCTAACCAAAAATAAACGATACCCTAGTTTGAAATATCCTTTGTTACAAATTCGTAGAATAATAAAACAAATAAATAAACAAATATAGGCTGTAATAGGATCTATAGATTTTGGGAAAATAATGTTCTTTAAAAAACCAACTAGGAGATGAGAAAAAATAATTTTTTTTTTTGATAAAAAACGTGTAAAATCTTGTCAGAACTTTAGTTTCTAACCAAAAATAATTAGAATAATAAGAAAAACCAATAAAAAATACTGGCTATAGGATGGATAGATGTTGAGAAAATAATTTTCTTGAAAAAAACAAACCTTGAGGTGAGAAATTAATTTTTTTACATATAAAAAAGAATAAAATCTTGTCACAACTTTAGTTTCTAACCAAAAATAAACGATACCCTAGTTTGAAACATCCTTTCCTACAAATTCGTAGAGTAATAAAACAAATAAATAAACAAATATAGGCTGTAATAGGATCTATAGATTTTGGGAAAATAATTTTCTTTAAAAACCAACCAGTAGCTGAGAAATTAATTATTTATTTGATAAAAAGGTGTAAAATCATGTAAATCATTTTAATTTATTGGCAATTTTTTGGCCTCCGTTGTTTAACAACCAAATGACTTTGAAAAATTGCTGAAATACGTTCAAAATTTTGTACGTTTTTATAGTATGATTCTTAAACAGAAAGTACATACTCTGTGCGTCTAGCGTCTACTTACTGTCACCCTCTGGCTTTTCTCCAAAAACTTCTCGATATGAACTACCGTATCTACCTAGATTATTTTTAAAATTTTAAATAAAGGCTAAACAAATATTAATAGGCGAACTGATTCTTATTAAAATATAACTGAAGGTAAAAAGGGACATTTTAAAACTCGGTGCGATAACGATCTGTGGAACTGAAAGCTTTTTGTCACTTTGGCCCATGAATACCCCTCGAAAACCCTCTTTCCCGTTGGGTTCATTCGGTCCGGGAGGATTCCCAAAGCTCCTTGACAGAACACGTGGCCTTACTCATTTCATAGCGGGATTTATTCATGCCTTGCCTTTTTTCAGAAGGGACACTTCTCACGAGCCCTTTTTTTTAAATAACTGAAACTTTGGAAATTTGACTTGAAAAACTAGGGATTTTATATTGGAATTGAATAAGTCCTTGCGTTTAGAAAAGTGTCAATTCGTGGAGAGCTTATTTCCAAATCTTTTTTAATTTTAAAGAAAAAAAGCGCCTCTGAGACCTAGAAAATAAACAATTTTTCTCTAGGATTGTTAAACGTTTATATCTTGAGGCCTGTGATTTTTTTTTTTTTTTTTTTAACTGAACATGTTTAATGATCATCATTGGACTAATGTTACAATTTCCAGCGATTAATTCAAAAAACATTGACACCTTGGCATTTGTGTTTATGGAAAATAAAAAAAAAGTTAGCCCTCGATTCGTAATTGGATAAAGTATATGAAATGACTTCGAGGGACTGGAGGATACTAGACATAAAACCCAACGTTAGAGGGGTTTAGGACATTATAAAATATACATAATGGCACATAATTGTCTTGCATAAATAAATTAGAAAGAAATATATATAAAATGTTTGAGGATCTTTTTTGTCGTTCAATATTTTTCTCAATTATAATGATATAAAATCCAAACACTCTTCATATTGACTTAAACAAGAAATATTCAGCTTTCAATTGGTTGTAATAACATTGAATTTGGATAAAAACCAAAAGAGTAATGTATTTTTATATAGAACTTCGGACCAAGATGGGAAAAATGCCCTTGACTGAACAAGTCCAAAAATTTTTCATTTGCTATGGAAATTCTTATTAAAGGCGCCTTAAACAACTCCAATTTTTTCGAAATGATTTTTTTGGCCTGCTTTACTGAAAGCGTCTTTTGGTTTTTGTAACTTTTTGTACAGGGTGATTCACTACTCGTAGGACAAAGTTCGTCACATGCTTCTACACCACAAGTACAACAAAAAAAAGTTCGTTTGGACCATCGTCCAATTCTCAACCCTTTCGCAGATACTCAACATTTGATGTTTTTTTTTTTTTTAAACTATCTACGGTTTTCGTCATAAACCTGCTGAACATTCATTTTCGGGTAAATCGAAAAGGCATCGAAAAGAGCCTGAAAATTTACAGCCTCGTTTGAAAAATTAACGGTAGAGCTTGGCAAATTTCAAAACAATTCGTTTTATTAAGCTTTCTGGCGGTATGCAATGATCTTCATTTACATCGAACCTAAATGCAGAAATTAAATGGAGGGGAAGTGGCGCGGTTTGCAAAACAGGGAGTTGGGTAACGTGATAACAATAAACACAAAAAGAAAGAAAAATGTAAAAAAAGAGACAATAAACATAAAAGACAAGCAAAGCAGAAAATCAGGACAAAATATCTACACTAAGCACAGATATAAAAACAAAAGAAAGAACAACGATAAGAAGTTGTAAAATCCAACTTTAAACTAATAAAAAAGCCCCCCCCCCAAAAAAAAAAGGAAAAACAAAGAAAACATAAGAAAAGAGATAAAGCCATCGTGAAATTACGTTGAATTTTTCTTTTTTGTTTGTTTTTTATTTATTTTTATTTTTAGCTTAAAGTTTGATGTTACAACGTCTGTATGTTCTTTTTTTTCTCTGCTTAATATTTTGACAAATATTTCTGCTTTGATTGTTCGTCGTGTTTATTGCCTCTTTTTTGTGTTTTATTTCCTTTTTACGAGAAATTTTTTTTGCTACGAAACTTCGTTTTTAAGGCCTTTATACAGTACTTAAAACCCTCCCAAATTATTTTTTTCGAAATAATTTTTTTTTACTGAAAGCGTCTTTTGTTTCTGGAACTTTTTTATATGCCTAGTCTCATTTGATACAATCCTGCGTATTATTTTTTTATTCTGCTACAAAAAATCGACTGATATATCATTACTTTGAAATACATGCACAATGTAGGTAGAAAATATCTAAAATCGTTTTTTTTCTAAGCTCCTAGGTCCGTATTTAAGGTTTTTAAAGACTCGTCAAAATAAACCCAAATTGTTTTTTAATATTATTTTTTTCCCTACTTTACTGAAAGTGACTTTTGGTATTTGTAAACTTTGTATCTTTAGCCTTATTTAATAGTAGGAATTTTTTGCTGCGAAGCTTTGTTTTTAAGAGCTTTATACAGTGCCTTAAACCAACCTAAATTGTTTTTTTTTTCGAAATAATTTTTTGCTTTACCTGAAAGCTTCTTTTGTTTATGTAATTTTTTTATCTACCTAGTCTCATTTGATATGATCCTGCGTATTACTTCTTATTCCACTAAAAAAAATCGACTGATATAACTTTCAAACACATGCACAATGTAGGTAGAAATGATCTAACAATCATTTTTAATTCTAGGCTGCTAGGTTCATATCAGAAAATATCTAAAATCGTTTTTTTTTCTAAGCTCCTAGGTCCGTATTTAAGGTCTTTAAAAACTGCTCAGATAAACCCAATTTTTTAAAATAATTTCGTTTTGCCTACTTTACTGAAAGCGTCTTTTAATTTTTGTAAACTTTGATATCTTTAGCCTCATTTAATACGATCCTGCGTATTATTTTCTTATCCTACGTTAAAAAAAATCGACTTGAAATGCATGCACAATATAGGCAGAAATTACCTGAAATAATTTTTTTCTAGGCTCCTAATTCCATTGATAAAAAAACTCGTGTCTAGCATTTTTCGACCTACATACGTAGTAGTAGATATTTTTGTTTTTGGAAAATAGAAAACAAAATTTACCCCTTGATCCGAAAATTTATCTCACTACTTATTTATATAAATGATAAATATAAAAACTTTAAACTTACCTTATTTTTGTATGTCAGTTCTAGGAGGCTTCAGCAGAATTGGCGCCGATTTTTGAAACCACACGAATTCTGAAAAAGAAAAACCTTTAATGTCGTGTTTTTATCACTTATTCTCGCATGTAATTAAATTTAATAATATGAAGTTATATTCGAGGGTATGGTTTTATAGAATCGATTTAACCTTTAATCTTTATGATTGATTCACGCCTAGGGGTCGGATTAGCACTAGCCTCCTTCGTCCTACTATTTCGGTTCGACACCCGATTTTTTTTTCACAAATTATATTCCAACGACTTGTAATAAAGAGACGTTTATCGACGTACCACCTTCTGGTGTTTTGGTTGGTGGCGGACTGAAGAGGCAAGGAGACGAAAAGTGCCGACCACCTGTCTTCAGACTGCCATATGTTCCGGTGGGGGCGAACGTGGAGAGAGGGATCACCTGGCCTGCTTAAATCGGCCCGTACTTCTTCCAGGGGTTAGGAGTTTTTGAATTATCGGATTCTTGGCGTGTTTTCACTAGTTTCAAATACCTTTTAAAGCCATTAAATAAGAATTTTGAGAGCAAATAAAATATACACATTTTTCGGCTTGTTCAGCCTGTGGCAACTTTTTTTTTTGATGTCCTACGTATCAATTAAAAATTCACTACTCATATAAAATTTATCAAAATTCAACAATATTACAACCTTTGGCAAGCTGAATATTTCCCCTTTCTGCCAGTGCCAAGAAAGCTTATGCCATTATAATTGAGAAAAATAAAGATGAACCAAACAAAGAAACCCCTCAAACTTTTTTAAATTTTATTAATTTAAAGAACGTTTGTGACATTGTATGCAATTTCCAAGGTCCTGAACATATGTAAAATTAAATTAAATTAATAATTGTCATCAAAATTAAATTTGCCACCTAGCCACAGGTAAATCTTGAAAATTTGCGACGTAACAACGAAGGAAAGTAGTTTTAATTAATTATACTTTTTATCTAATGTCTTGGTTGAGAAGAAAAGCCAGTGTCACGAGCAGGATTCGAACCCACGACCTTCCGCTCAATACGCCGCTCCTCGTCACGATAGCTCAAGTGGTTAGTGCAGCGTCGTATTGAGCCGAAGGTCGTGGGTTCGAATCCCCTCGCGACACTGGCGTTTTCATCTCAACCAAGACTTTAGATAAAAAGGATAATTAATCAAAATATTAATACGGACAATTATGGCTACTAAATACATGGATGAAAGTAAGTTATATGATTTTTTTTAAACAAGAAACAAAGTTGATATTAGTTTTCAGCACACCGAAAACCCCTGAATATCAATTTTGGGGAAATCAAAATATGTACTTTTTTCTCAAATTTTCCCCCTCCAGTAAATAAATCTCTAGGCTTTTGTTGCGGAATTTGTGACAGAGCGACGAAACAAAATAGGTTAAAATACATTTTTTTTAGCAATAAACTACGTTCATATTCGTTTTCCGCTCTTCAAAATATCCTTGAACATAATTTTTTGAGAAAAAGAAAAAAATGTTCCCCCATATACTTGATAAGTTGCGTCCGATTTTTGCAGAAAATCGCAAAAACGATCATAAATTAGAAACGACTCCATCGAGCCTCAGGAAATTTAACAGAGGTTATAAACCTTATAAATTGCATCTAATGGCACAATTCTGGTTTCTTTAAATCAATCAAACTCTAAGAAATAAAATAAAAAGTTTCAAGTGTTCTTTGTTTGTTTCATCTTTGTTTTTCTCAAATATAATAATGTAAAATCCAAACCTTATTGATATGCCCTAAAAAAGAAGACACTCAGCTTCCCAACGGAAGTAACAACGTAGAATTTTGATACGATAAATGGAGTAATGAATTTTTAAATGGAACATAAGACACGATATGAAAATTCGCATTTAGAGGCTTTAATGTGAGCTTAAAACACACCCAAACTTTTTTTCGAAATAAATGTTTTTGGCCTGCTTTACAGGAAGCTTTTAACTTTTTAAATATTTAACCTCATGAATAGAACCTTTCATATTGTTTTCTTAAACCCCGTAAAAGTACAAATTTACTGATAGATAAGAACTTGAAACATATGCACAATATAAACCGAAATTACCTGAAATAATTTTTTTCGATGCTCCTAGGATCATTTGTAAGAAATTTCGGACATGTTTCTATTATTTTTCGACCTAGTATCACAAAAACGAAACATAAACTGAATGAAGTTGAATCGGTTCCACCGATCTACGGGGGATTTTACGGGATCTTAGGAGACTATAAACTATACGCATTGGCACAAAGTTGGCCTTAATAAATAAATTAGAACGAAAGATATAAAATAAAAAGTTTGAGAAGTTTTTCTTCGGTTCATTCTTATTTTTCTCGATTATAATGACAAAAGTCTAAACTTTGTGTATATTCGTTAGAGTTCGTGGTTGAGATAAAAAAGTCAAGTGCCACGAGCGGGATTCGAACCCACGACCTTCCGCTAAATACGCCGCTGCTCTAAACACTTGAACTATCGTGACTTCGATCCACTCGGACGCCAACTGCCCATATCTCAACCCACCTTTCGAATTTTCCCTCCTTTTTGCTATTTTGTTTACATTTTTGAAACGATAAAGATTCAGTTTTACAAAAGTTGAAACAAAGTTGAAATTGGATAAAATCCAGAGGGGTTATGAAGTTTTTGTGGAGACCAAGGTGTAAAAAAATGCCCTCGGTTGAACCAGCCCCAAAATGTCTATTTTTTATTTGCTACGAAAATTCGTATTTAACGGTTTGAAAGGGTACGTTTAACATATCCAAATTGGTTTTCTCAAAATATATTTTTTTACCTCCTAAAAGGGTCTTTTGGATTTTGTAACTTTTTATATATTTAACCCCACTTAATAAGATTCGGCGTATTATTTTCTTATCCATTTACATACATAATATATTCCGCCAGATGGTATTTACCATGGTGTATTATGTTAATTTACTTTGTTTTGTATACATTTCTTTTTGTTGTTAAATAAACATTATTATTATTATTATTACATAATATATATCTTTAAATACATGCAGTACAAAGGCAGAAAACTACATTTCAGAAATAATTCCCTTAAATTTGAAATATTTATTCTTCTTGGTGGTTCAATGTAACATTTTTATATTACCATAAATACTATGTTTCGACTTATTGTAAAAATTCATTAATTTCAACGATATTCTGGTATATAGTATCCTTCTTTTAGATCCGGAGGTTTTCCATAAAACTAAATTTAATTTAATAGCTCAAGGATTCTGATTTTCTGAACTTGCCAAAATAAAACCTTACCTCCTTCGATGCGTATATAGTTTTCCATTGAGAAAAGGTTTTTTAGGGGTGAAATTAGCTGGTTTATTGCAACGCTTAAAATGCGCGCCACAAAAATTGCCAAAAATAACAAGACTGGAGCCGAAAGGGGAAAGCTAATTAATTAAAATCTTAACGAGTCTCCTATCCGCTGCCCTTCGCATTATAATTAAACAGCTCCACGATAAATAACACTCGGGCCGAATTTACACGTAGACTGTATTTCGACACCGATCGATCCGCAAATAATCTCGTTTCCATCAAAATCGGGTGGCTTTAAAACCTAGATTCAACCTACCATAAACTTGGTAATTTATAATGGCTATGGCTTATAAAGTGCTACTGGCCAACAATTCGAGAAAGGACCAAAGCGAGAATATCCCAGAATGAGAGGGAAAAAGTAATTTGTTGTGAACAAAACCAAGCCGCCGAGCAAATGATGAGAACTGGTAAACTATGTAAGTAGTCTGACTGTTGCCTGTTGGACGGCTCTGGGCCCTGTTTGGTCCGTTTATTTCCCCGAGTGGCTGTCTCATCACGAATTCCTATGTGTCCTTACAGACGCATTTTAACAAATTACTCCCGTGTCCAGCCCAGGTTTTCTTCAGTCTGACTAATTGCTGGAAAAAATCGCAGCGAACTTCGAAATTAAGAGACTCGTCTGACAGACCGAAACAGCGATGATAGGCGGATCAAAATGATGGGAAACGACCGAACTACAGGTTCATCTCCACGCAGACCTCAACAAGAAATCTCAGAATTTAACCGAGCTATCAGACTAAGTTTATAAGTTATGCACCAAACCAGCCGTTCCCCGTTAGGTCTCACGTCCAACTGGCTTTCGGGTCTTACATCTAACTACAAGTTGGGTGTCACATTTAACTAACTATGTAGTCAGGTCTCACGTCCAACTGATAGTTGGGTGTCACAGCAACTGCCCATTAGGTTCCCATCCATCTAATTGTTGGGTCCACGTACAACTACCCGTCGAGCATCGCTAATCGTCAGGTTCCACAAATGGGGCCGACCTTGCAATAAACCAGCGGGTCTCACGCCAAACTACAAGTTAAGACTCACGTCCGACGACATGTTGGGTCTAACATCCAACTAATATTTGGGTGTCATATTAAACTACAAGTTAGATCTCAGGTCCGACTGCCCATCGGACTCACATTAAACTAATAATTGAGTATCACGTCGAACCACCCGTTTGTTCTCATATTCAACAAATAAATGGGTTTCGTATCCAACTTGTCACTTCCAACCGTCGAGTTTTTCACGTCGAATTAAAAATTAGGTCTCACGCTCGACTGCTCGTTCAATTTCACATCCAACCAATAGTTTAGTGTCTTGTTCAACTACAAATAACTATCTATAACTACTTGTTAGGTCTGACATCATTCAACTGTCGGGGTAATCCAACCGCCAGTTCAGTTTCACATCCTACCAATAGTTGGTTCTCATATTCGGATTAATAGTTGGATTTTAAATCCAACTGCCCCTCGGGTGATACTTCCAACTAATAGTTGGGTCTCACATTCAAGTTGGGAGTGACGTGCAACAACAAGGTGGGCCTTACATCCAATCGTTGTATCTCAAAAATACCTCCCTTCTATAATTGATTGTGGTTCAAGTATTTTTTCACATTTTATTTCTTTTGATCCTTACTCAAAGGTACCCTGAGCCTATTCCGTTCGATACTACGGCACCTGACAAACACAAATCTGTTTTTTGAGTTCCTTGTATAA